GGGGTCATGGGGGTCACGACCCCCCCCCTGGGCTGGGTCCAGGACCTAGGACTACTAATTAAAATAATATAATATTTTTAACCGACTTCAAAAGGAGGAGTTTCTCAATTCGATTGGTATATTTTTTTTTGTTGTATGTACACCGATTACGTTGAGATTTGATCCGATTTCCGTGATTCTTCTTTAGTTTGATGTAAAATAGTTGCCATTTGGTCCTATAAAAATTTATGTAGTTTGGCCATAGTTTGGCCAAGTAGTTTTCATTTTATGAACATTTTTACAATATTTTGATGACACCGTGGCGCAGTTGCCAAGATTTTGGCTTCGGCGTCGGGGGTCGTGAGGTCGATTCCCACACGGGACAACTATGTGTGCTGTCCACAGATAGTTGTTTGATGTAACTACGATCTCATGATGGAGCTCCATCTTCAGCCGTCCATGGAAATATGCATAGGGTTGCAGATGCGTTTTCTCCTTATAATAAAGTGGGCTCCGGCTAGGTAGCCAGAGCCGGAGCAAAATGCATCTCTTGAGTGAGGTACTCACCAGACAAATCGCAGAAGTACTTTACGCCGATCTTCTGTGAGGTCTATGAAGCTATTCTGTGAGGTTCCTATGACTACTCTGTAATGAAACGACTCAACCCCATCGAGATTCGGCTCGTTTGAATCGTCTTGGCGAGTTCTTAATTTTTAGATGGTTACCAGGGTCTGATCTGATGATGGAGCTAGAAGATAGTCATATGAATTCAGTAAAGAAACGACGCAACCCTATTGCATCTCGGCTCGTTTGATTCGTCATGAAGAGTTCTTTGGTGCTAGATGGTGACCAGGGTCTGAGGAGAGCTGGAATGTGGCCATAGGAACTCAGTAATTAAGTAACGCAACTGCGTCGATTGATTCGTCTTAGTGGGTGGACCCTTTTTGATGGGTGGTGAGATGTGGTGGTTTGGTGGACGTGAGTATGCGAGACCATCCTTGGGAAATAAAGATTGTTCTTTCCGTTTGTTATGAATCTGTCTTTAATTAGATGGATTAGAAGCGTTGCATATTATGAATGAATGAATTAATGAATGACTGAATAAATATTTTTTTGTTATTTATGAACATTTTTTAATGTGGACGATGTAATTTTATATTGTATACGGCTATTTTAGGAGTTTTCATTTGAGTTGATTATATATTAATATCAACCCGTCTCCCGATAGTCTCGTCTTAGGCTACTTGTCATTGAAGTGGAGCCAGCGTGCGGAATAGAGAATATTATAACCAATACGACTACATAAAATCTGGTAACGAAGAAATAAATAAAAGAAATTCCAAAAATAAGTAAGCCTACCAATAGCTACTTAAAAAAATACTATACAGGATGGCTTTCCTAAGTGTATGCATTTTTTTTATCAAATTCTAAAGATGAATAAAGTTATATAAAAATGATAAATTTTTAAAATCACTCGTAATTAATTAATTACATTCATTTGAACTTATCTCAAAAAGTGCGTGATTTATGGGCAACTCATTTATTTTACGCGCGATCATTCATAAATTACACGCACACATATTCGTTTCAAAAGTAGACGCATTTATGAATGACTACCGCATTGTCAACAAGTTTGTTGTTGTTTTTAGGAAATAGAATGCCAATTATTTTTTTTTTTAAATTTGTTTTTATTTCGAAAAACGATTATATTACCGAGTTTGAACTTCCTGTGTTAATTTGGGCACCTTTATAAAAGCCACCTGTATAATATATGATAATAAAAATCAACACTATGTACGAGCAAAACAGAATTTTGCTAATCCGTCTATATATGAGGAAGGTATGCCCGAACACACCCACATAAAAAAATGTAAACATCTGAATTGATAACCGATGAACCTCCTTTTTTTTGAAGTCGGTTAAAAATAAGTACCTACTTTTTACTTCTATCTATGATTATAAAAATTAAATTATAACTTCTTATCACTTGACCACGACTACGTGACCTCCCCCTGGCACCAAAGCTGGATCCGCCCTTGAGACATAGACATTTAAAAGTATTAATCGTGTATCAGAGGGAAAGCGAAACTTGTATCGGTTAATAAGTTCGTTCAAGCAAGGTTTATCCGAATGAAATGAAGCTTAATGCAGTTATTGTAGATACATAAAATATAAATTAATGTTTTTAACATAATACTGTCAACGTACTTATGGTAGCGTGAGTTTTAAGTATCGCCGAATTTTACCTTAAATCAATGTTAAATGTTAATCCAATTGAGGTAAAACTTTGTAAAGTTGTTGGTTTTCACATAAAGGTTTCTGACTTAATATCGTTAAAAATAACAGGTGGAACGAGTTGTGTCTGATTTTTGTTTGTTCACGCAGTTTATCCGATTGAATTTAACCTAACTTTGTAAGTTGCTGGCACTTGGAGCCTGTGTTTTGTTGGATGATGTGATGTCCCTTTTCAGGCATCGTCCATCCGATGGAAATGAAATGTTTACAAACATTGTTGGCGCTTGATAGAAGTGTAGCTCATTGTATGTAGATATGTATTAACTAGTCTATTACATAAATATAACTTTGTTATATCCACACAGAAGCTCACGTATAAATGGGTTAGCTCATCCGAGGCAGTACCAATGATTCATTCCAGTCGATGTAAATAATACTCTATCCACTGCAGTACATTGGTTTAGTGCTAACAATTTACTGTTGACTAATAAAAAAACTAAATGTGTTAAATTTACAACTTCCAATATGAAACATGTAAAAAGTAATGTACTTGTATACTAAAACTAAAATACTAAACTACTGATATGGGGAAGTGCTGGACTCTATTGACTCAACTGTATTCCTTGGCATAACTATTGATGCCAAGCTGAAATGGGGCCCCATATTAATAAGCTGGCGAGTAGACTTGGCTCTGCAGCTTTCGCGGTCAAAAAAATAAGACAGTTGACTGATGTAGATACTTACGGCACGTTTGGTATATTTGAGTTATTTCCACAGTATAATGCCTTATGGCATTCTACTTTGGGATATCGCGGCCGACATTAATACAATCTTTATCCTTGAAAAAAGAGCTATTCGTGCAGTGTTTTACACTAAGGCCCCAAAGAATCGTTAAGTAATTTGTTTAAAGAGATAAAGATATTGAGTATAGCTTCTCAATACTTTTTTGAAAATGTTATGTATATCCATAAAAATAAGGATACATTTTCAAGACATAATAATATTCATGATATAAGTACTAGGGACAAACATTAAGTGATCCTAGTCACAAATAGACTGCGTAGAGTAAGTAAATCTTTTATGGGACTTTTATGGGTCTTTTACGTTTCTACAACAGAAAACATTCAAATTGCATCAATAGCTAAATTTAAAAAAGTAGTAAAAGAACGTTTGTGTGTTAAAGGCTATTATAATATTAATGATTATATAAATGATATCACACTCTGGTAATGAATTGATCGCTCCAGGCTCTTTTAATCAGAGTTTTTATATGGTACTAGCTTTTCCCGGCGGCTTCGCTCGTGTTGAAGCCCTTAAATAAATATCTTTCCAACACATTTTTCCAATTAAAAAAATTGCCTTTGTCCTTTCTCAGGCTCTAGACTATTTGTGTACCAAATTTCATTCAAATCGGTTCCGTAGTTTTGGCGTGAAAACGAGACAGACAGACAGAGTTACTATCCTGTTAGTATGTCCTATTTATAATATTAATATTTGTATTATTACAAATAATATATTCATGTCACACCGTGTATGTCACAAAATGAAAAAAAGAGGTTGTTTCTCCGGTTCTTCTCAGTACAGCGGCTTTCTTTTCCGAACCGATAGTTGTATTTTGACTATCAATAAGCGAGTGAATTTGATTTGATTTCACAGAGGTCCAGCAAGTAGTTGTAGAGTATTTTAACTTCTGTGTTTCTTTTGCCGTTACAATAGTTACTTATAAAACAAAAATATTGTCTCCGCCTGAGCTAAGGAGGCAAAACAAAAATATAACGGCGGTCCATAATACCAACTTGGTTGTACAACGGTGGACGTAGCGCTCTATTGATAGAGCGTCATTAAAATTTTGCCCTTGGATACTCCAGCATTTGCAAAGTACAGTGAGCGTTTAAAGGACGGTACTTTATTCGAATAGTACCTTGGAGGGCTTTTTTTAATGTATTTTGCAATAAAAAAATAAAAAATAAAGAAAATGATCTGGTATAGAAAAAAAAGTAAAAAAAATAAGCATATTGTAAATGATCGTGATACGAACCGCGGCTGTCTGTTTTGGGTTTTCATTCCCTGAAAACAGGGATAAAAGGACATTTTATAAAAATGAAACCTAGCTATCGATCGATTTTTCGCCCCCGAATCTACGCACATACTAAATTTCATGAAAATCGCTGGAGCCGTTTACGAGATTCCGATTTTATATGTATAATCGCTATTAATATATGTATATATACAAGAATTGCTCGTTTAAAGGATAAGATAACGTATTATCAATTCGTGATCACTCTCTTTTTATACATAAAAAATGGCAGTTGCATAGTCTATTAAAAACTGCCAATACTTCTTTAATTTTATTCTATTACGTTTACGTTTTAATGCTGTACTTAAATTTAAAAATAAAAGTATCTGCGTATGTCTATTACATGCGAATGTACCAACATCAATTACAGATATCTGATTTTATAATCTAGAGGAAGCATTAAATTGTGCGATTATTCACTCTACTATTGTTAGTATACTATAATGATGAAGATGTTCATAGAGTAATAGAAAACTATAAACAATGCAATAATGGTGTAGCTATTTAGTGGTAGTGCGGAACCCAAAAGATATGATTGCAAGCAAAATTGAGTTAATGGACAATCTTAACACTGGCGTTCACTACCTACTGCTGATTAGTTAAGCTGGTGTGCAGTTTATCAGCGCTTAACATTAAAGAAAACGGACGATCCGTATTACGTTGCTCGCGCGATCGTCTATCACGCGCAGTGACTGGTGAGCACCGCGCCATGGAGCCTGAAAACAAAAACAACGTCGCCATGGTATGTGTGCACAATGTATAAAGTCTAAGTACACGCCGTGTGTTCCTTTCGCGTCACTCCATTAAATTATATATTTGGAATGACAAAAGGAAAACTGCGAAAACGCAAGCCAAACATCTTCGTCAGTGAACTTTACACCGTTGTGTGGCGCGATAGGATAGGGCAAATCGCCAGTTGGCTATGAAACTCGCGGCATCGCGGTCGTTATAAATCGAACGTTTTCCTCGTGATAACAAGAACGGAACTGTTCTAAAAAGGGAATTTTGTTTAATATTAAATTAAGTATTCTATGAATAAGCTGTGTTATAGTAACGGTGCTATAAAATTATTATATAGTTTGTATTCGGAAAGAAATTATAAAAGAGTGAAATTGGGTGAGACACTTGTGTAAATATAAAAAGCACATCTTCTATTTATATTATTTTTAAAATGACAAATACGTTACCAAACAATCCATAAATTTAATATCTAAGTATACCTCACAGATCTTCCTAGATATTCATTCGATACTCTACAATGTTTCAAGCACTTTAAGTTGTTCTGGCTAATATCAAATACGAATTGTCATTCAAGAAAATGTATGCGTTTGCATTTTGGTATATGCCGACAGCAATAGCTTGCTGATAGGTACTTGGTATCCGTTAGTTCCCGTTAGATGACCCCATTTTCCAAAATTAATATTGAGAAATATAAAATACAAAGTAAAATGTTACTTAGAGTGATAAAATACGTGTAATAATTTATAAATTTAGATTTACTACAAAATGTTTGATTGCTTAATATACTCAAATTTCGCGAATATAGAGGTACTGACTCTGTATGTTGACATGTTTATAAACGTTCGCAAGTAAACTAATGAAGGTTGTTGCCGTTGTCTATTAACAGTTTTCTTAAAAAGAAAACGGCATGTTCTGATTTGCAATATTATATGGATTTGGTTTTTATGTTTGGAACTAAAATTGCAGACTTTCAAAAATTAAAGAGGATGACTTCAACAAATCTTTGATTCGAAGCGGGGTTACCACCAACCTAAACAGTATCCGCCGATAAAGATGATAACAATTGCTGTTATCAGTCATCGTTTTTTGACCCCATATTTATGAAAACCACTTAAATTTATCTGTATATATATAATAGCAGAAAGCTATTCGTGAAATTAAAATAATTTTATTTACTAAAATTTATATTTATGCATTAACTTATCGAAGCTCATTTTTGTTCAAATTGTATTATAATTGTAGTTTCTTTTCAATATGCAACACTTTTCATTTTTTATTTGATGTAATAAGTACAAAAAATCTAAGCAGTTTCGTTTAAAAATTACCAACTTAATTTATTACAATGTCGGTGATAGCTCAGTGTCCAGGCGCTCGCCTTTAATTTAAAAAAAATTCGGACACATTTTTACACAATGTTCTCTTGTCCCAAACTAAGCAACTCTTGTACTATGGGTACTAGTTAACTGATAAACATACTTAAACATTCTTTTCTTTTGTAAATAAATACATATTATCATCATCATCATCATTTCAGCCTGTTTGAGTCCACTGCTGAACATAGGCCTCCCCCATAGACATACACATATTATACATATATAAAAACCCAGACACTGGAAAAAACACTATGATGATCACACAATATTTCTCCAGTAGTGGGGATCGAACCCACACCCTCTGACCCTACCAGGCAGGTACCCTACCCACTTCGCCATTCGGGTCGTCAATTCAATATACTCGAGCAACCTGAGTTCGATCCCCGATGCCGGCACTAATGAAACTGCTAATTTTAATTGCCGAATTATCACGTGCTTAGCGGTGAAGGAAAACATCCTGAGTAAACCTGCATATTATCAAAATAATAATAAAAATATTTCGAAATACGTGAAGTACGCCCATCCGCAATGGGGCCGCGTGGTGGACTATGCCCTGTACAGAGGAGGCCTTTGCCCAGCGGTGGGACACGTATATGCTGATACTTTTTATTACAATAAAAATGCAATGTAAAGGTGACCTCGCTGATAATCAATATTGTTTTATTGGTAACAAGTAACGTAATTGACATATTTTGGAAGTAAGTGCTTTATAGCACTTTGACTTATAATAACCTCAATTATTTGTTTATCGATCCGTTTAAAGATGCAAACATATTTTTCTTTATTTAAAAAAAGGCAATTAAAGATACAATGCAAGTTTATATTTGCATCTTCAATTGCATTATTGTAATTTACGTAATTTGGCATCAAAAAGCCAATTATTAAGACGATTAATAATTTTAAATAAAGAAATATAAGATTGTAATATATAAATCTTGGAACTATACTTATGCGTTAATTATTGCATTAGTTACGTTGGCTTGCGACAGAAAATAAAAAATATTTATGATTGTTATTAAATATGTTTTCGCTACCCAAATAGGTAATTAATAAACTCGTTGAAGTTGATTGCGTCATCTATAGAACATTAAACTTTTCAACAAGAAATCTTAAACAATTGCTGTGCGGGAAATAGTAACAAACGCATAACAGCGACGGTTATTAATAATACAAAAAGAAGTTAATGAGTTTAATTCCAGAGCTCCTATAACAAAATTTAATAGAAACTGCAAATAATTGCAATATAACGGTTTTAATAACGATCGTCGCATTCTAAATTAAAATACTCATGTGTTTTTAATTTTTAAACCGCATCATTAGGACGCAAGAACTCATTTTTATAGCAATGTCATAAGGACATTTATATTTTGGGCACAGTATTTTCGCCATAGTTACAGTCACCAAGGAACATAATGACAAAGTTGATTAAAGATATTAATCTTTTATCGCTATAATCCCACTTGAATTCATCGAATTAAATCATTTATTCTTATCAGTGGATAAAATATTCAAACACATAACATTAATAAAATACATTTTTTCAATATTTTCGTACTATTTATTTTTGATTTCGTTTCTTGGGCTACTTTCCTGTAAATAATAACCAATTTTTTACTAACGAAAAACAAAACCGACTTCAAATATCTCGCTCTGTACTCATTTTATAATTGATTTTGTGGAGTTCCCTAAGTATCTCCGGACCCAATGAAGTTGTTAATTTTAAGTGCTGACTTATCACGTGCTCATCAGCGAAAAACATCGCAACAAAACCTGCATATTTTCGAAATAATAACAAAAATAAATATTTCGAAGATATGACCTCCGCCAATCCGCCGTGGGCCGCGTGGACTATGTCGAATAGCCTCTGTACAGAAGAGGCCTTTGCCAAGCAGTGGGACACGTACAGACTATAACTTTTTAACCTTTATTTTAAATGTCATTTTATTACTGATGAAGTAGTCTTTCTAAGGCGTTTTAAAAAGATTCTTCTCGTTTTTTACGGAAACCAATTCTAAACTTATAATAATTGTAAATAACAATACGCGGCTGTTATTAAATGACTCAACGGACTAGGGCTTATTCAAAACATTTCATATTACGTATTGTTATCAGTTAAAGCTTATGTTATATATAGTTACATAATTTGCATTTTACACCTTTCATGTGTTACTTTAGACTCTAGACTGTAAATGAAAATGTTATTTCTTGTATTTATGATATAATAATGAGTAGGTATATTATATTTATGATTTTGTTTATTACTGTCATTTGAATGTTAGACAATGTATCTATTACCTAACGTATAAAACTAACGTCCTGTGCTAAAAATATATTAAGAAGATCTAAAAGAACTAATCTGTACTCTTGTCATGGCGATACGAACATTTTAGAATATCGTCCTTGGGTATTTCGATTTTGGTGAAAAATGTTTATTAGCTGTTTGTAATGGAATAAATGCGTCTGTAAAAACACATTGCAAATCGCAGTCATCAAGGTCGCCTTGTAACGAATCTATAATTATGAAAGAACAATGAAAACGTTAGTGCATAATTCAGATATCTTTTTCCTTAAATGATAACAACATGTAATTAATTTAAAATCCAACTGTGTTCACAAACTGATCAAGATCGGATTTTCGGAAGTTTGTTGATATACTTATGTAATGATATTATCTGACGTTAAAGGCGATCTGCCGTCATTCACGACGTAAGAACAAATAAAACACATATAACACTTAAATGGTGTTACGTAGTCTTCCTTAGAATTAATTCAATCATATACACATTTCAAAAACACTTTTATATTTAAAAAATCTATTTTCTAAGAAAGAGCTATATATATATCATATTTATATTATAAATAAATAATTGTTTTCGTTATTAGGAAACGTCAACTGTTATCATGGAAAATGGCGAGGAGATAGTGAAAGTAAACAAACCGCAGATGCCCAATGGAACTCATCAATCGTATTTAAATGGTAAGTAAAATTACCATCGATATTGTTCGTCATTATTGTTTTCATTTACCTTATTAAAACCTTTATACATCTGTTTTTATGTATGTACTTTTAAATTTGTTCAACTAGTTAAGCGTAAAATGATAGAGTCGGTTCCATCTCTAATTATTTTATCCCTTGGTTTTAAAATGCGTTCCTTATAATGTCGCGGTATATATACGAGGGCTAAATAATTAAATAAATTTCTTCACGAATAGAATACTATGAATTAACAACGCTAACATGTGAATAAAATGAAAAGTGTTAATCGCTTGAGTAGGTATAGCAAAAACCTTTGCAGTCGGTGACTTTTTTGTTTGTTTCTAAAATATATTATTCACTTTCACACTAAATGTGGGTTAGGAGAAAATGTGTACTAGCCATATCCGTGTGGCGACCTTGGTAGCTATAGATAAAAAGCTAAAACAATAAAAGCCGGTAATGTTGCTTATCCAATAAAAAGATTATATAACAAGCATGTTATAAAAGTGGAGATTAACTTATCGAAAACTGTTAATACCCAATGTAGAAACAACATAATCTTAACGAAAGCATTTTATAAAATTGATATTACGAAATTTTCATGGTTTTTATTTATTTTATTCGTTTAAGCTTTCTTTTAAACAATTGGTAGTAAAACAAAAAGAGTTTCGAAGTTACTTTTTGTTGGAAACTTTCCTTGTCCCACGATACACCAGCTCTATGTCGTCATTGAAACTTGACTTAATTATCATACATTTATTCATTCTATAACAAATGGGCAAATATAACAGAGAGACAAACTTTAACACTAATAAATATTCATTAAGTGAAAATAAGGTAGCCGCAACGCTACGTGGCGGGGCAATGCTTTTGCTACCACCAAACCCGACTCTTAGGTAGTGCAAAATAAATTCATCCGCTTTGCAACCGGCGCAAAATTGGCCAAAGAAAGGTCGACTTGCAAAGCGATTGTGGACTTCCAACGCGATCCCTTTTCTGTTAATAAACGCCAAACCAAAAAAGAAGGAAAAATAGTTAAACCCACGGCAGTTCTCATCAGCTCCATCCAACAGCTAACATAGTCAACAGCAGTTCCTCCCGCAGATAATTTATACCTGAACAAAAGTGCTTATTTTACGTAAGACTGAAAGCGAGAACATCATTCAGAAAATTGTTAATTTCGTTAAAATTAGAAATACAACAAAGTAATGAACGTGTGACGTCAGATCATTACATTGCGTTTCATCTTCTTTTTACTTTGTTGGCACTGAAAAATTAACCTCTTTGCAATGTCGTGTACATTACGATAATCACTTAAGGCTAATAAAATTATTCTTAGCATTTTTCATACCAAATGTCACCATATACAGTCGGAATTTAATAGAATAGGATACCTAAATTAAATTGAAACTAGCTTGCTCTCTCTGAATTCTTACCGGTAAAGATTTTCAATATATTTACTAAAACGCACATTTAGCAAATCTAATGTTCCGTTTAAGACCGTTTGTCGAGCACACTGGCTATGTTGGCTTTCCTCCAATTTCTCCCAACTATAGTGAGATTTGTTACTCAAAATTTACTTCTATTTTAATTAATAGATGTAAGTTTTAAGAGTATAATAGCTTTTAATTAGTGAATTTTCATTGTAAGTTTATTTACTTCAAACATACACAAAAACTAATAACGATGTTTCAAATAATATTTTTTTAATAATTATTAAACACGGAGTAATCTTTATTTTTGAACAAATTGAAATGATGCTACTCTGTAGAGTCGTCTGTACAAAATAAAATTCGCCACTTTAGTCGACTTGATTTTTAAACTTTTGGACACTTTCTTTAATCTACAGATTTAATATCGAACGTCTATTTTTACACTATAAAAAATTTATTTGTACTCTGCATATCGTTAGATATTGGTTAATATTATGAAGCTTAGCACTATTGTGTTAATTTTGCAGTTATGTTATGGTTGTGTTTGTTATTGAACCTGGATGGACTCTGTGACATTATTGATAAACAATTCAGTTCACAACCGTGGTTACAAAATATGTGGGTGGAGATATCCCATTTTCTTATTAATAAATTAAATAATGTTTAAAAAGCTATTTTTACAGTAGTTTTTAAACTATTATTTATTTCCTACTTTTGAGTTCAGCTGGATATTAAAGCGTTTTTTTAACTATTCTTGAATATATAAGTTAAAGTATATTTATTACAGTTTTTCGAACTATAATTTTTCTTTTCGTTACAAAATATTTCGGCCCTAAAGGGGTCTGAGAAACGGCTATCATATCCAAAAATTTGATCCAAGATTTTGACCAGGATAATTGGACAAATTTATTAAATTATCGTATTATCATCGGCCCGTGCTAGGTGTACGAAGTTTCGATTCCATCCGACGTTTTAAAGTGGGTTTGAAACAAAGAAGAAATTCAAAGATTCCGTTACCTAGACACATTATACCAAGGTAATTGCAAACAAATTTGATAACAAGATAGTTGTGTTTAATATTTCCTCTTTGCGGTGTATTTTAGGGCCTGACCAAATCATACCAGCGGACAGTTACACATCGTGCGAACCAGGTGGTTATGTTAAGCTTCGGATGCAACCCAGGGGGCTGGCAGCCGAACCTCCTATATCAATACCAGGCCTTCTCAGTCGGACGGCAGCAAGGTACCCCGATGCTACGGCGTTGGCCTCAAAGAGAAATGGACAGTGGGAGAAAATTACCTACAAGTGAGTCGTTGAAAAAGAATGCAAGTAGTTAAAAGAAAATTGTGCTTGGCTAGTGTTTAACTACCATCCCACTTGTTGTCAGTCTTGATGCAGACGTGGGTGATAAATAAGCTAACTCATAAATAAGTGGATTCTCACTCGAACCGTACGATTTTATTTTCTCTGTATGATTTGCTAATAATAGATTGGATAACAATTATTTATATGCTGTCCAAATTAAACAGCTACGAAAGTTATTAAGTTCATTACCATTAGAATATATAGTTTGAATGACGGCACGACCACGACATTTATGATTTAAAATTCTATCGCGTAATATAATTACCTACAACTATTACACTATACTGAGAATCATTGTAAGGAACAGAATACATTTACGTGACTGCAAATCGTTAAGCTAGAATTTTACATAACAAGTATTGTAATGGTTGGCATCAATCAATAAGTTGCGCATTACTATTCTTTTAACACACTTTTTTTTTTCTAGACAATACCAGGAGCGAGTGCGTACGATAGCCAAAGGTTTTTTAAAACTAGGCTTGGAAAGGTATCACTCGGTGGGCATTATTGGCTTCAATTCGGAGGAATGGTATATTGCCGATCTTGCAGCGATTCATGCGGGGTGATTATTTATTCCTTTGAGTTTACAAGTTGTTTATCCTGATATAACGTTGTTCACGTAATAAAATTCTTTGTATAGAGCAATCGGCAAACGGACAAGAAATTCATCTATCATTGAATGATTCACACCTCCCAAGGATATCCACGACAACGTCAAATGCAACCAGCACTTGCGTTTCCAAAATCAAAGTCAAAACACGTCTGCTTTCGCCGGTCAGTGAAATTGGTTACGCGGTGGCTCTACCAAAATAATAATTGTTAAGGATTAGCTCTACCTAACTTCGGTTTCGTGTTTTTTTTTTAATCGATGTTTACTTATATTTCAAGTAACCGTGGTAGGACTACTTAGTATCGACACCTGCCGTTGCACGAATGGGCAAACTTGTCCAGGGAAGTAGTACGACCTCACAGAAGACGGGCGTGAAGTGAAATTATAAAATTTTGCTCTTCGTCTTGTGATTGCCGCAACAGGGCTGACAATCTTACCGTTGCCAATGCACCTGCAGCCCTAAACGTGTTTTTCGAGTAGTTATCCACGGGGGGCGGATATCTCTTAAATCATTAACCACCTGCCCGGTTGCAACCTTCTAACAACAGAATTTTACTGAACCTCGTCTATTATTTTAAGCTACCGTTATGGGTTTTTATATCTTCATATTTTACCAGTGGCTATGCGGCGGGCATTTACACAACGAATTCCCCAGAGGCTTGTTACCATTGCTTAGAAACCTCCCGAGCCAACATATGCGCGGTGCAGGATAAAAAGCAGCTCGAAAAAATATTATCTGTGCGCAGTCGACTGAAGCATCTAAAAGCTATTATACAATGGGAGGGATCAGTGGACACGTCCATTCCTGGAGTTTACAGCGTGAGTGTATCTATTTTACGTAAGCCGTTGCGAAAAAGTTCCTTCCTACGAGTAACCTGTTTTGTTGTTGCTCTACAATAAACCTAGAAATAAACTTGCGCATCTCATGTGATGTAAAATTCAAAATAAATGAGATCTCTGTTATTTTTACAGTGGGACCAAGTAATGAAATTGGGTGTGGAGGAACCTGATACCCAGCTAAATAACATATTAAAGGCAATGGCTGTAAACGAATGCTGCACTTTAGTGTATACGGTAAGTTTTTTAATGTCATATATATCTACATAACAGTTATCACGTGTTCAGAGGTGAAGAAAAAAATATCACAAGGAATCCTGCATAGTTTCGTAATAGTAATAAAAAAAATATTTTGAAGTTATCTAAAATATGGTCGCGTGGTAGACAAACAAAAATACTTTTAAGGAATATGTACAAAAAAACATATTAAGTATTTATTTTTAACACTACTATACATCTAACAGTGAGAGCTTCTGTTCGAATCTGTTTGCTGGTTATTTAATAGTTATAAACGGAGTATGATACATACAATCATAGTAAATGTAGAGCATGCATAGTGAGGGTACATAGAGTCCTCCATGTTGTTGATGGATTATATGGAGCCTAATTCAGAATTTGTTTAGTAAACTTCGCGCCTACTAATTACTATTGTTTGCAGTCGGGCACTGTTGGTCAGCCGAAGGCGGTAATGTTGTCGCATGACAACCTGACGTGGGACGCTTTCTCGATCGGCGAGCGCGTCCGCGATTTGAACCCAACGCTCGACCGACTTGTTTCGTTCCTACCTCTGAGCCACGTGGCTGCTCAGGTATGTATAAGGGTTGTGGTTCTCAAATATATATATACATATATACGATTAGTAGGCTGTTTTTATAGGAGCGAATTGCATGTTCCAAAATTCCCAGGACCGAGTACCTATGTGTGCAAACAAAATTATTCAAAACGTGAAGGGGAGTTAGGTGCTTATAATTATTATTATACTTTAAACAAACTAGAAAGAATCACTTCGGGAATCTTATTTATTTCAATTTTAGTTTATTCGCTGCTTTCGATTTTTGTACAGCCAGGAAGCCCGCCGAATACTCAGTATTCGATAGGTGACCAATTATGCTATTCGTTGCAAGTTTAATACACATGTTTTATACATTCGCGAAATCCAACAGGTGTTTTGTAGGTTGGATGACTCATTGTACGTAACTAATCGAACTTCTGAAATCGCGCCATTTACGGATAATAAGAATGAATGGCGTAAACTAATCACACTTTTCCAGGCAATTATGAGGCAAATGCATTACGAAGACCAGAATAAAATGATAATATAGGTGCCAAGTGTTTGTTTCTATATAAACTTATTATTATCAATGAGTATCTTTACTGATAAAGAACCTAGATAATGACTGTTTTTATATTTTCATTTAAAAATAACTCGATGGAGTGTAAAAATGATTTGTATTATCGCCGAGAATGTCACTCGACAATGCTCTAAAAAGTTATTCAAGCGATGATACTGGATGTCCCATCAAGTAAAGTTAAACGAAGTATGTAAAAATCAACAGCTGTTACCTACGGAGATTGCCGTTATAGACGTTGAAATAGTAACATGACAATAATAGCAACATAAATATTGTAAAATATTATGTCATTAGAAGCTGTTTCTTATACTTCATAGATAATAAATATTTCATAATTTTATTTATACTTTACAAAATCTTAGGTCATTTAAGATTTAGGTTGACAAAATTTTTTAACTGATGAATATTATAAATAGCTCTTGAGCAATTAAAAAAAATAGTACTTTGCAAAGTCACTGCAATAAATAATACCCTTTTTAACAGTGCAATTTATTAAATTATTGAGGAAACGAACAGTTAAATAACCAGTTGTTAGGTACATCAAGGATAGAAACAATCACGACAATAACACTGTCTTAATCTATTCTAACTTGTTGTTTGTGCGAATAGTCGGCAAATGAGCAGACGGTTTCACCCGATGTTAATTGATTACCGCCGCTTATGCAAATCTACAACACCTGATTTTCAGAGAGATAATGGAATTCGTCGTTCGCGACTCCGAAGCCAATTACGTATTCCCACGACTGACGGCGAAGGGCCCATCCTAAGACAGTAATAATTTTGCCTCGCCTGCGATATTGCTGGTATTGTGCCTGTGCAATTGTGCATATCCTTACCGTCAGACGAATCGCTTCTTCATTTGTACTCTCTGAACTAAATTTCCAACAAAAAGTAGTTTCAACCCCTACCACAAAAACTTTGAAATGAAGTCTTAACTAATTCGTTAGTCGTATCTTTTGTGTTATGCGGTTGCATCATAGTTATGAAGATGTATCTTTTGATTTTATTTAGATCGATTTTTTGGTAATGTCAAGCGCACTTTAGATTTTATGTGATAACTCAACTTTCCTGTGTACTTTATTTTTAATTCACGCAGGTAGTGGATATTTACACAACGTTAAGCAACGCAGTTCCCGTTTATTTTGCCCAACCGGACGCTTTGAAAGGCAGCCTAGTCGAAACCCTAAAGGAAGTTCGACCAACAAGGTATATATACAATACGAACGTTATTTTTACGTCTCCATTTATGTCGTGGTTATGTATAAAAATTAAACACCCGTATATAACTAAAATTAACCAAAACATTTTTATTTTATATTATTGGTAAAATCCTGCGATGGATTCACGATTAAGGTTTATGATTGTGCTACACTTATATTATTTATATTTTGGTAAATGCCTCGTTTTTTGGGATTTTCCACGGATTGATAAGAAATAGCATGGCGTGGGCAAATTTGTATGTTTGCATAACTTCCTCAAAGCTGTCGACTTCACAATATTGAGTTTTGAAGGCAGATATTGACTTCCTCTCTCGCTTTGCGTTAAAGGTTCCTCGCTGTGCCGCGTGTGTGGGAAAAAATGCACGAGAAAATAATGGCCGTGGGAGCTTCGAGTGGCAGCGTCAGGCGTTGCATCGTCACTTGGGCCAAGGACAAAGGCACGAAACACCATGAAGCGAGAATCAACGGGTAATGTTCATTTTAACAGTTTATTTGGATTTTGTATAAAGTTTATGCAAAAAGCAAAATATGTGTACTCCTAAAACCGATATAGTTATTACTTTTATCTGTATCCTACTCGTGGCAGGAAAATGTGTTATTGAATACGTCGCAATTGGGCAATACTTCTCGCCAGCTATTAGTTCAGGGCGTAACAAACCTATAATTTAATAAAATTTCATTTGCTTTGTGCAATATTAAATATAAACAAAAATTTATTTTTAACTAGTGCCTTCTCGGCTGGGATGAGAGGTCTTCCTCTAGACTTCACAACCCTCGAAATGTTACGTTATTGGTATGTAAACCAAATAGCATTGTAGAATGATTAATAACCTGCATGCTATATATAGTAGGATTGACATCTTTATTAGGTTTTTTGTCTTCATTTTACAGTCTTTATTTTTTTTACAGTTTTTATTCAATTTTTTTACATTTTACAGGTTTCATTCAATATTATATTTTGTATTTATAACGATCAAATCTTGGCAAGGTCTTTGTGTGTCGTTATAAAAGAATTATGAATATTTTTAATACAGATGACAGCCATGGTATTTGAATAATTTCATACCATCTAAATGTATCTGATACATTTATCTCATTTGCTGATATTGATAAATAGCTATAGATATGTAGTAAAAGCGTCTACAATTAGGAGCATCAGCTGTTTCTAATTGTAGACGCCTCTAGATTGGATTTCCTTGCATGAGTTCGCGCTAGTTTATTGACATAATTTAATTAGTACCTTTAGCTCATTCAAACATTAGTTAATTTTAGTGACGTCATTCTCAGTACCTCATTCGTTTTTGGAATGAGCTGATAATTTGATTTAATTTCAGTGAATTGGATTTTCAAAATTTGTTAGTACCTATGTGTATAATAAAATAAATAGAATTTTATGCATGTGCATGATGATCAACACCTTTTGCAAAAACCCATTCAATCTGGTAGAAATAAAGAAATCAGAAACGTGGCATGAAATTTTCGTAAAACGTAGTAACCAAGAAGTAATAAAATGACCTTATGATTTAAATCATCTGATATTTTTTTTATATATATCTATATATTTAAATTGAGGTTACAAGAATTAGTGCCTGTGTACCTAGCGCTTTGCTTACAATTAGTATTTGCGAATTCTGGACATAAATGTATTTTAGAGAGATATAATTATAGATGTATAAATAAATTTTAATATGGATACAGGCGTGATGGTTCAAGCTGCGGTTACAAGATGGCGCGCTCCCTAATATTCAGCAAAGTGCGCGACCAGCTAGGGTTGGACTGCTGCGACACGTTTGTCACCGCTGCAGCGCCCCTGTCGCCCGACATCAAGAAGTTTTTCATGTCGCTCGACATACCTATTGTAGATGCATTCGGCATGAGTGAGACAGCCGGAGCTCACACCCTCAGTATATATCCGAAGTGAGTAAATGTGCAGACTGACTTCTGGCCAGAAAGAAAAGTACCTGTTTTGGTGGAGTCCAATTCACATTCCTGGTTGTTCCTTATGGATTGATGGACTTAAATACCTCTATTGCCTTAATGTATTGGCTTCAAACGATATGTCCTTTTTATGAGATGATTTTTGTCATCAAACCTTAATTGCATAATTTTATGATAAAAATAATTGATGTATGAAAGTGTTTATTGCCGTTAAAATTTACATACATTTATTGTTATGTGCAATCAGCACATTATGGCCTCACCATAGCCGATTTGCCTAACCACTATCAAATTTCTAATTTCATTCAATTTTTAATGTGAAAATTTGCCAAGCGATCAGGCTGTTCACCTGATGTTAAGTGACAACCGACATGTACAACACTTGCGGAGGCGTTAACAACCTTAAAAAGCCGCCCGGGCTACCTCTCTCACAAGACGAAACGCGGAAGTATAATACTTCCACTTCACGCTGGTCTTCTGTGAGTGCGTGGCACTCCTCGGGCGAGCCTTGCTCGTGATTGTGGTATTGCCCATTCGTGCAATACCACAATCACGATCGTCACGTTCCAGATTCAAATTGGACTCGTCTGGCGAAATATTGGACGGCACGGAGACAAAGTTCGGTGGGGCGGTCAGTCCGAACGGCCCTGGCGAGATCATGATGCGCGGCCGCCACGTGATGATGGGTTACCTCAACGAGGAGGAGAAGACCAGGGCGACCTTGGACGAGGACGGCTGGCTGCACTCGGGCGACGTCGGCAGGGTCGACAACAACAACTTGCTGTACATAACGGGACGGATAAAGGTGCGACGACTGCTAGTTCCTTCGCTTGTTTGTAATAAGTTCTGTTTGTATTCTACATAATCATTGGGCTAGAGCCGTGATAGCTCAGTTTCTGCTACCAATTTTTGTATCATGTCTTTGTGTAAATCACGAAGTCGTGGATATAATATAGGTCGCGTGGTGGACTATGTCCTTATACCCTCTGTACCACCTGTGGGATATGTATTTGCTGTTAGTGTTACTTCACTTTGTTCATCCCAGTTTTAGATCGTTTTATATATACATATAAGTACGTACTTTGACAAGGTTCTTAAATTTTAAACTCCCGATCAATAATTCCGCCTAACGGAACATATCTTAAAAGGCCTAAATCACCCTAAACATATTAGTACAGGAGCTCTTTTCTTCGATGTCGCAAAAGCATTCGACAAGGTCTGGCACAACGGCTTGCTTTACAAGCTGTACACACTCAAAGTGCCAGATAGGCTCGTACACACCATCCGGGCCTTCCTGTCGAACCGCTCTTTTCGATATCGAGTTGAAGGAACCCTCTCCACAAGCCGCCGCCTCACGGCGTACCACAAGGCTCCTGCCTCTCACCTTTGCTCTTTACGCTCTAGACGAGCGATATACCTAAAGACCCCCACGTCAATCTCACGCTTTTCGCGGATGACACGGCGCTCTTTTATTCAGATCGCAACCTAAGTCAACTAACCACTCGACTCCAAAGCGCCGTTGACCGCCTCGGCAATTGGTTGCGCAAATGGAGAATAGAAATAAATCCCGAAAAGTGTGGCGATTCACTTCACAAGAAGTACTTACCCGTCACATCTTTATAATGGCCCTCACCAATGCAGAAAGTTGGGGCAAATATCCCTTTATGGCCAACCACTCCCCTGGGAGAAAAAGGTCAAATACTTAGGAGTCACTTTCGACTCGCGTATTTCATTTACTACGCACATTAATAACGTTCGCAATAGAGCCGCGTTCATCTCTGGCCGGCTACACAATTTAACTAACTCTAAAAGTAAAATGCCCTTAAGGCACAAATTATTATTATATAAGACCTGCGTACGACCTATTATGTCCTACGCATGCATGACCTTCGCCCACCCTACTCGTTTGTAAAGTAAAGTAAAAGTAAAGTAACAGCCTATACATGTCCCACTGCTGGGCAAAGGCCTCCTCTATACAGAGGGTATCAGGGCATAGTCCACCACGCGGCCCCACTGCGGATTGGCGGACTTCACATATCTTCGAAATATTTTTTTGTTATTATTTCTAAAATATGCAAGTTTCCTCACGATGTTTTCCTTCACCGCGGAGCACGTGATAAGTCAGCACTTAAAGTTAAAAACTTCATTGGTGCCGGCGCCGGGGATCGAACTCAGTTTGCTCGAGTATATTGAATTAAAAGCCAGCGCCCGGACACTGAGCTATCACGGCTCACTCGCTTGTACAAGTTGCAAATAGTACAAAATAAGTTCATCCGCCGCGCAACCGGTGCGCAGTGGTATCAACGCAACGTCGACCTGCACAACGATTGCAGACTCCCGACGATTCGCGAATATTTTAAAGACCTGACCAAACGGTTCTTCGATAGAGCCGAACATCATCCCAACCCTCTGGTGGTAAGCGCAGCAAATTACCAACACGACACAAACGCGAACGTAAACAAGCGTCGCCCGGTCGAGGTACTTAGATACGTCCGACCCACCGCCGGGGGTCCCGCTGGATAACACTACACCCACAGTTAGTGCAACAACAAACACACTAGTTCGCCCTCGCCTCCTAGCACGGCGAGACCAACACAACGCGTACACAAGGTACACCCACATTCCGGGGCGGTTCTTACCGCTCCCAGCCACCGATTAGCTAATTGCACAGTCGACGACCATCGGGGTTTCGGTCCGAACCGCGACCTCGATGGCCCTTAGATGACACACCATAGTTAAACGCACGCATGAGCACATGCGTGGCCCTACCAACAGCGGAGGGCCCAAACCCGTGGGTTCTGGCTAGCCCACCGGTTCTGCGTCAGATGAAGCTTTAATAGTCTCGGGACTGAAAGCAAAAACATCAGTTAATACAAGATACAAGAAATTTTAAACATAAAAGGCACAGATTAAAAAACCAATGCCTCGTGTTGTATTCAATAATGATGCATTTACGATAATCAACCAGATAAATTAACATTTTTAAACGGTTTTATTTAGCTCAACCCGTACGGAATTTGTTTATTTATTTGGGTCAAAATTAGAAATTGAAATTTAAGCACCTTGCCGTTGTCAGATTGATCTGAAATTTGGTACACACATTTAATTTAGATGACAATACAATATTAACAAAAAAAATTAACAAAAAAAAAAAGCATAAAATAAAACCGTTTAACTTAAAAGTTTTTTAAAGTAATTATTTATATCTAAGTTAGACTTAGATTCTATATATTTTCGAAAACAAACTGGAAAATAAGCTAGGAAACAAAATTTTGTAAAGATATTTGTACCGGTCTTACCTGTCGGTATAAATGAAACTGGTTCTTATATGTATGTACATAAGTTCTTCTTAGTTCTTCTTACGCCCGCGAATGTTGCTGCGAGGAAAGATTTTTTTTTTTTCTTTTATGACTCCTCTTTATTAATTTCGAAAACAAGAAGGAAATTACAATAGCGTAGCAGCACACGCTGGACGTTATCGATTTATATAGATTTTACTACTGCTGTTTCATAAGTTTAATTGTGAATTCTTTACATTATTTAATTAAGAAAAAAAAATTGCACTCGATACATAACTGCGCGAAATCTCGTCACCGCCACTAAGCTTAGTTGGTAAAGCGTCTGCGTACTTTACCAGTTAAACGGAGGTTCGATTCCGCGAAAAGTTCTTGTCCGTCCATATACAAAAATTCACGTTCTAACTGAAACTCTTAGCGCTAAAAATAAAATTGATGATCACAGTGCTGTGATGCCGTATGTGTGTGTGTCCTCAGGAGTTATTGATCACGGCGGGGGGTGAGAACGTGGCGCCAGTGCTTATCGAGCAGACGGTTCAAGCGCAGCTGCCCCACGTTGGCTACGCCGTGCTGGTAGGAGATCGGCGCAAGTTCCTCTCCATACTCCTCACGCTGAAGGTGATTCGATATATCCTCATATTCATCATTATATATTCCTTATATCATGTAATCAAATGTTTAATTTAATTGTTAAATGTTCAATTAGTTATAATTGTTTTTGTGCGTTTAAGAAAAGGGGGAGTGAATTTTACAATGACACATAAAAGCGACACCAAAGTGTTACCATGACAATCTATTGCAACTTTTTGACGTTTACCTTTAATTAAACAGTTATCAATTTGCATTTTTCGATTCCCACAGCGGCGACAATCTTTTCGTACTTTTTCTACATGTTTTAATGTTAAAGTATAACTTCGTAAGATTTTGTGAATCCGAAATGCGGATTTGTAAAACGAGACATTAAAATTGTGATGATCATGTCGAATATAAGTATAAATTATATGAAACAGATTGATAATATGCCGAAAATTGTATGTGTAAGCGACGAAAATGTAGGTATGCTTAGACGTATTGATATGTTGTAGGTAAAAGATACGTGCAAGGATCTTGGAGAGAGGGAAATTTGAACGTTTGTGTATGCTCTACACAGATTTTAGTAAAAGAACAATATCAGAAAAATGATCATTGATTAGCAATTTGTAAATTTTCTCCAGGCCAATGTAGACCCACAAACAGGCGATCCATTGGACGACTTGGAGACGGAAACGAGGAAATGGGTGGCGAGTCTGGGAAGCAATGCAAGAACTATCAGTGAAATCGTCAGCACTAAAGATCCAGCTGTAAGTTGAAACTTGCATACTTTAGCTATTCTTCATTAATCCTTTAATAATTTTTAAATTTTTGTTCGTATAGATTGTAACACATAAATATTGTACATCGACCCTTGGAAAGATAGCGTTATTTTGCGTTACTTCAGTGTCGTTGTTGGCGCGGTCGCTTTAAATATAACGTCGAGCAACCTGAGTTCAAATCCTATTGCGCGTCACCAATGAAATTGTTAATTGCAAATTCAAGTGCTGACTTATCATGTGCGGTGGAAGTAAACATCGTGAGGAAACTGCATACTTGCAAATTATTTTAAAAAAATTTTTCGACGATCCGTAATCGGGATGTGAAAATATAATCGATTTTCATATTAATCGATTATTTTTCTTCTTATAATCGATTTTTAATAAATCGATTATATCAATTTAACTTTTTAAACGGTTTTTGTGAACAGCCATCTGTATGTATACAGTTTGATTTTTTAGACTAAATACATACTTTGACATTATGTTAACTGAGCATTCCATAATTCAAAAAAATATTAATATTTTATTTTGACAAGAAATAACCAGAAAAATATCAATTCCAACATTGTTTGTTTATCCCGTTAAGAGTGGTCACCTTATTAATGCGTTCAGCGAACAGTTTTAGTGCTCGTGAATTAGGTTATTGTATTTAGACGTTAAGGCAGGAATTTCTAATAGGGTGGTGTTCATGTTTGAAAAAAATTAAAAATAATCTTTGTTTGCATTTAAGTTCATTTTCGTTAAGTTAATCCAATATTAAAAGAAATTGTTCGTTTAAAAACTTGTAACTATGATTGACCAAAAAAAACGGACTTATAAATTTACGTGGGTTCGATTCCCACAGCGGCGAAAAAAACCATTTTATCTAAAAATTTTAATGTTTAATGAAGTCTTATATTACATTATGGTTCTTACATGTTTTCAAGGTTCATAAAGTAATAGAGGAAGGATTGGCTCGCGCCAATAAACAGGCCATTTCAAACGCACAGAAGGTTCAAAAGTTTGCGATACTACCGGCTGACTTTTCTATGAACACGGGAGAACTGGGTATGTATCTCAACTATTTAAAGAATTTGTTGAATTTGTAACTGTACAGTTCATAATCAATTATGGCATATATGGATCCCAGTTTTCTTTAATTATCTTTGTATTTTTATTTACCATTTATTTGCTTACATCATAAAATGTAACTATTTTCCGTAGTGATGATGATCTCTCTGTTAAGTATATTATTGATACTCCTGGTAAATTTCAGTTGCAAGTCTTCCACACAGAAAAAGTAAATAAATAATAAAATATTTTTTATACTCTTACAGGGCCAACGCTTAAAATAAAGAGGAATGTTGTCTATGACAAATATAAGGACATCATAGAGAATTTCTATAAGGAATAAAAATCTATTTATTGTTCTAAAACGTTTGGAATGGGAATCGTTACGTGTTGTTACAATTGCTCAATTGGAGATAGAACCAAAGAATTTTGGGAGTCCTTTAAATTGTACTGGGGGGAGATGTAAATATGTATGTTTGTTAATAAATGTTTTACCATACAACGTATTTCATTTAATTAAAATAAAGAAATAGTCTCAATTATTCCTTATTTATTTAAAACATTATTTCATATATAATCTTTCTCATAGTAATATCATAAAAACAGTCATAAAATGAATATCGATAAAGCCTTATATCATATTCAAGCACTTTTTGTAAAAAAAAATATTGATAAAATAATTCTCTGGAATAAAAAACTTACCCTTGGAATGTAAACACGAATATCTAATAATTAAATAAATATCTATAAATTTGTGATAAAAAATGAACGTGAATGTGATATTTAACATACATCTAATTGCGTTATAAAATAATTGCAATACTTGTAAATGTATTTAAATTATCGTTGATTCGATGAACAGTAAGGTTACATACATTTCTTATAAAGAAAGTAACAGCTAGTAAAATATTCAATTCAAGGCATTGTTAATGTTAGCCAAAGAAATTATTTCAAGGTAAGGCTATCGAAAATCATTCTCAAAATACGCAAGTCATTACAATAATTCTATCGAATTATATTTAAGAAAGTCTTGACCTTCGATATTCGTATAGAATACACCAAAACTCAAACTTAGGTGCGATTCACATCAAACGCGGCGTGTCGTAAAGTAATTCACTACGCGATAAATGACTAAGCTGCGGCGGTCTACAATGGTTTTTAGTAATAATATTTCTAAAATATAAAATTTAAAAGTTATTACCAAACTGTTATATTTGAACATGACGCACATAAACATGTTTAAATTGAATACTGCACATAAATAAATACGCAGTTTGACATTGCAAATTTAAAATGCATTAGAAACGGTGTGGATGTGGAACGAAACGCCCAAACATATCGCATGCATACTGCCAACGCGACGCGTGAAAACGGTTTCATGTTATGTCTTTACAAAGAACCCTTCGTATATTTCAATGACAATATTTTATAGATCACTAGAATACTGAATATGTAATTTTCATAATGTACAGTCGATCTTAATATATAAGTCACTCACATCCATGGAAGATTTTTTACATTTTATAAATACCTATGGAAGATGTTTAACATTATATAACTTTCCGCAATTGTAGTCCTCAAAGCATACATAAATTGTAAGGAAAATCGTAAGTCGCTTGCCGCTGTTGTTGTATTTAGTGTTTAGTGGGTTGATATTTTTAATCGGTGGTGTGAGAAGGCGGAGCGGAGGACGGTAATGGCGGAGGGGCATCCGCCAAGGGCAGGGGCTTGGCCACTCCGATGCGGACTACGCCCCTCGGAGCGCCCTTCAGCGCGGCGACTGCTTGCTCCAGGCTTGCATCCTCCAGGTTCTGTGTGGGCAAAAAACGAATCACGTGCATTTAGCATTTCGGTGTACTACTTAGGGTTCCGTTCCAAAAGATAAAACGGGACCCTATTACTACGACTTCGTTGTCTGTAGGTCTGTCCGTCTGTCTGTCACCAGGCTCTATCCCATAAACCGTGATAGTTATGCAGCTCGAAGTGGTCTCGAGCTGCTGCAAGATGGCGAGGGAATCGGAGAAGGCTTATCCTTCTCCGAGGCGTGCTCAGGCGTAGTACCGAGGGACACCGGTGCGTTCCGTGGGAGATCCCGGGGTCCCTCCAAACGTACAGTAGTCGGCCACCGGGGGAGTTTTAGTGGGTAAAAAGCCCACATAACGCCCAGGTCATAAAAAAAATCACCTGATCGTTGACAAAGAGGAGCCTGTCGCCGGGTATGAGCCTGCCGTCCTGCTGCGCCACTCCGCCCGGCACCAGCGACCTGATCACCACCAGCGTCTTGGATGGCCTCAGCGGGTCCTGGTAGTCCAGTATCGAGAAGCCCAGGCCGCGCTCGCCTTTCACCAGCTCTGTGACAGAGTGGAAAACATCCTCGTGCTTATAATGTGCTCCTGTGTGGATAAGAGAGCAGCGTCGTTTTGTGTCTTCATAAATCATACATGTACGATCGGATGATTATAAGTAAATATTTATTAACCATCAATCGTATTACGAATTATTCATAATGCCATTTAAGCCGTCAATTACACTTTTTTTTTTCGAAAAGTTCGCGTTTTTGCACGAACGTGTACCACACTGTCGCATCTAACATAACGCACCAAAATAACTCTTCTGAAATATAATTTATCCAACAACTTACTACAATAAAAGATGTTGTGAATACAAAGTTAATGCCAAAAATGGGCAAATTAAAAAAAAAACGTAGTTTACAGTTGTTAATGGATGCAATTTGTGTACATTGGCTGTCAAATTGATGAATAATAATCTCGTCAATAGATCAAATATGCGATGTTTTTTGTCACAAACTTTATGCTGGCTGAATTAATCACATCACTTTTCTTAAAACGGAGCTGTCTAGTCGGTTCTTGAGGACAAATTTGCGAACCGGTGATATTTTATCCTTTCATCTTAAGAAAGGCTAAGGCAAATTTGAAAAAAAAAAAAAAAAAAAAATAAGAAAAAAGGTGTTTTTCAATCCGTAGACTTTCAGAGCTTAGATTATTAGATATAGACAGATTCCGGGACTTTCAATCCGTAGACTTTTAGAGCTTGGACTACTAGAGATGGGCAGATTCCACGAGTTCGATAAATGGCGAGGTGCTACTCCGTGTACGGTACCGATGATCTGCGGCTCCGAGGCCCACATGGCGAGGCCCGTCAGCGGCTCGAGGCTGCGCGAGCGCACCTTGCCGCCGGCGGAGAGCGCGCCGCCCTCCTCGCCGCCCGCGCCCGCCAGGCTGCCGTCCGACTTCGCCTGCCGACCGACGCAACGTCACACGTCTCACAAACAAAACTCGAACGTATGCGATACAGCATAGAGTCGATAATGCTATTTTCTTTCAGGAAATCGCCGTCACGAAGCGAAATTCGAATGGACTCTATACAACATAGCGTCGATAATACTAATTTGTAAAAAACATGGTTGTACAAATGCAACGTGATGTTGTGTCATACAATTAAGTATTGCATGTTTTTTGCTCTAGACGAGCGTACAAATATTTATTGTGCTGTTCTTAGCACCTGGATTAATAGATATAATTTTAATAATAAGTTTAAAATTTAAAGAAGAAACAATATTAATGAAAAAGTAATAAAAATAAAATGAATAAAAATATATCGATAAGTTAACAGTGGTATTAAAAACATATTATATCTAATGAAATTTAGACTTTCTCCCTTCTTCGGGCGATATTCTTTGAATGTTTTTTGATGATACTTGATGCCAAGCTCTTGTAGACTTGTAAATAACGTAACATTTAATACCTTTCTATCGTCAAAAAAAAAAGATCAAACAAAATATTGTTACATTCAAGTCGTACTATTTATTTCGAATGTCTTTTCCGCTCATTCATTCATCGGTCTATTATTATCGTTCATCGTTGTTGAGTTAAGCAAGCCACGCACCTTGACCAGAGTGGCGGAGGGCGGTGCCAGGTCCAGGGCGGGGGATGATCGCGGGCGAGCGCAGACCATGCACACCTCGCTCGACAGCTCCTTTAGGATCGAGACCACCTCCAGGTGGTTCATGCCCAGCAGCCGGTGACCGTTCACCTCTACAAAGACAACAAGACAAGAAAATTTATTGTTAAATTTTATGTTACAAATAGCTTAGTTCTCAAAGTGGACCCCAGGGGAGACTCGACGGGGGTCTACGCTGGCGTCTCAGCAGCAACGCAAATTTAAAAGTTAGATCTAATCTTCTAAATTTTTTTATTGAGTTTTGGGAATATGGTTAAAATTGTGCAGAGGGTTCAACGGAACCAGCTAAATTTCGAAACTGTTCTATCAGAAGAAAAGTCTGGGAACCTCTTTACTAGACCGTAAGTATAGATTGCCTCAATATTTGAGCGGTTCGACCTCAAATGAGGTTTATAGCAACAAGAACGATATTTCATAAGTGAAGTTCCTCCTTCTACAAAGGAGGTTGCGTTGTACCCTTTAATATATCAAGGCAGGGGCGAAAATAATAAACTGCGTACTGCTTAAACGTTTGTCGGATTCGCTAGTCAATTATAAATTAAATACATACATACATACAATCATCGCTAGAGAGATAAATAAGCGCGTCCTCACCGAGCAACTCGTCGCCGGGGCGGTGCACGCCGGCGCGGCCCACCGGCCCCTCGGGCAGCACGCTGCGCACGTAGTGGTGGGGGCGCACCTCGCGGCCCCCCTCCACGTCCACGGTGCCCTCCAGCGAGATGCCCAGCCCGCCGCCGCCGCGCACCACCACGCCCACCACGATCTCCACGTCGTCGCCTGCGAGCGGACGCGACACCGGTACTTAGTTGGCCGTGTTGACCTGACCGCTCTGCGGCAGGGGTGTCGAACGTGCACCTCTGCGGCAGGGGTCTCGAACGTGCTCCTCTGGGGCAGGGGTGTCGAACGTGCACCTCTGCGGCAGGGGTGTCGAACGTGGTCTTCTGGGGCAGGGGTGTCGAACGTTTTCTTATATAAAATCCAATGCGCCTTTATCCCGTATGAATAGCGCAATAATAAAAAAAAGTTACATTTATACTTAGGGCGTGTGCAACATTAGATTCTGAATTGCCTCGCCTTCGCCGGAGGTGGCAAAATAAATAGGCTTTCATTTCTTAGCGTCAATCTTTCTTTGTAAATCACAATGGTCACCTCCCTCAACACCGCGGTTATGCCGATTCTTCCATGAACTGAAGTTTAGTGCACCGTAGATTTTAACGTTTGTAAAACATTTAAAGACAAATAGTGCTATGTTTCAGTAAGCACCTTATAGTACAATGCTATTACCCAGTATGGATTGCCATTTGCGCCGTATCGCTTCCTTCTGCTCATGCGTGCGTGGCATCTCGAAGGCGGGCTGGGGCGTGGGACTGCGCACCGGCTGAACCTCAACGCTCTCTTCGTCGTTTGACTCCAAACTGCTAAGAAATAAAAATAATCATTCGTTAATCACCATTACACCTCTTTGCGTATACCTCCCATTCCATTTAAAGATTCTTTATGTTTACGCAAATCAAGACATTGGGACATAAAACATCTCAATCTATCCTATGACCATGAAATTTAAGTGTTTAAAACGTCGACACTTAAGATCAAAAATTTACACTAAACATCCGTAAACTATGTAGTTTTACAATATTCCTATTCTATAATTAATTTTCTTTTTCAGGAACATTCCTATTTAATGATATAATTATATTTCCTATTACCTACTTTGCTTCAAGTGTAATTTAGTAGATATATATCGAGATTTTCGCGACGGGACGATATCGGCCGCGCCTAACTCACGTGATTAGAACGTGTGGGCGGTAACCGGAAGACACAGGTTCGAATCCCGCAGGGCCTTCAACAGTTTACCTACGACTAGTCCTATTCGACTTGTCACGATAAATATGGGTCTGTCTGACCCGTGAGAGCGTTCGCTTACGGGTTGTTGAGCTGCAGGTGCATCATCGGTATGTCGTGCGAGTGCGGCTCTTGTCGGTGCATGTTCAGGAACGGGTTGTGCGGGGCCGCGCTGGCAGCGCTCTCGCCCGCCGCGATGGCCTGCTGCAGCTGCTCGAACTTCGGCCCGCGCAGGTACCTGATATTTCGTCCGTTTCCCATTAACCAGCAACCGGCCCCGGCGTCGCACGGGTAGCGTTAATCATGCAAAGAATAGTTTGTTTTCATTCCATTTAACTCACTTCCAGTATTAACTCGCAGCGTTGGCAGTCAGACTCAGCTGGCTCACGCGAATGAATTTTACTCTTTACTCCAACGATTTCCCATTCGCAACGAACTCTATTTCGCCGAGTCTTTCAAGCAATTTATTATCTATTCCATTCCAATAAAACAATAACACAGTCAAATCTTTAAGTTTCATTATTTTTAATTAAATTAATAATACCCTACTCAAGCTTGCCAATCAGGGAAATAGTCCAGAAAAAGCGAGAGAAAAAAGAGAGGAGGGATGAAGATGATCGAGAGAAAAAAAAAAGAGTGAGGTAGAAGGAAGTTGTGACAGAGGGATACCGAGGGAGGCAGAGGGTGTTAATACCTCTCGAGCTCGAGCGTGACGACGTTGCCGCTCTGCTTGAGGGCGTCCACAGCGCGCTGGTTGGATTTGCCGGCGAGCGAGGCCCCGTCCACCGCCACGATGCGGTCGTTGACCCTGACCGCGCCGCTCAGGGCCGCCGCGCTGCCCGCCGTCACCGACTTCACGAAGATGCCCGACAGCTCCTCCTTCTCGCAAACGTAACCTGTTGACAACGCTCCTCGTCTCGCAAACCGGCACGTTCATGTGTTGAAAAGGGAGCGGAGATATCACTATATGTATATAATTCTATAATCGGTTCACCCACAACACTTACACAACTTTAAATTAATTATTAAAAAGCACTTGGAACCCTAATCTAACGATACTTTTTAAAAATAAAGAAATTAGAAATTATTAAAAATATGAGAGCTGCGTAAATTATAATATATTCGATGACTGTTTTGATGGAATTGCCAAGTGATAAACTTGGTCGTCGCGGGCAGTAAGTTCGATTCCCACAAATATAACTTATAGAACATTGTTCCGGAACAATAAATACGATATTGTCAGGGTTTGCCTGATTGTAGTGGAAGTAATCCTGCCTGTCGGTAAAGCTGGTGGAGTTGGTCTTGAAATAAACCACTTTTAGATACTATTAAATTTATTTTCTTGTGTACAGCCTTTAGTGACACGTCTATGCGAGAGTTCAGTATATAAGTTTATAGTACATAATTGCCATGCATAAAAATAAATTTAATGTTGCCAACAGATATATCTATTAATGATCTAGGTACGCTCTTGTTTAATTTGTGTTTTTAAAACGCCCGTACAAGGATGGACTTTTTTTATTGTACGTCGACGAGAGGATTTTATTCAGCATACCTGCTATTGTAATACCCAGTCCATTTTCGTCTTTCTTTAATTGCACCGTAAATCTGTCAACTTCCGGTGATTCGGCATCTGAAATATAAATTTTTCATAGAATCTGTGATTTCCATTTCCATCCGGAATAGTCGACTCGTTAGTGCAGTTGCTGAAGCTATTGGTTTCAGCGCCGGGATCATGGGTTCGATTCCCACACAAAACAACTATTTGTGACCCACAGATAATTGTGCCGCCCAGTCATAAAAAACATAGCCAACATAAAAAACATAGCCAATAATAAAAACAAACAGATTCACTTATTCTGCCGACTGGCGACCCTAACTAGGTAGGATAAGGCAGCACCTACCATAAACTCTCACCACATCCTGGGTCGACTGGTAGAGAATGCCTTTGGGCAGTAAGTCCGCCCTTTGTTACCTTGTTTTACTGAAGGTTGGCAATAAAGATTAAATAAATAAATAAATAGTGGCTATAAAAAGAACATATAGTGCTAAAGTATACTGTCATAAGTTTAAAAGCAATTAATAAAAAAAATCGCACCAGCATCGGGCGGTGGTGTTACAGTACTGCCGAAAACGAATCTGGACGCCGGTTGGTTCACGAGTGCGGGGTTTGGCTGCGTGTTGAAGACCTGCTCGAAGCCGGTATCCATAAGGTAGCGGTCCAGGGCTTCGGGGTTTGACAGGAGCCTGTTTGAAACAACAATATAATGTGAATTAATTGGCATTTAATAAAGCACCCTCCCGTGCGACTGTTTTATATTATTTAATTAAAAATGTATTGTTTACTCAACTTAAGGCAAACTTAAAGCTTTCTCTTCCAGTCAACCCTGGGGATAGAGAAAATTTGACGCAGGTGCAAAACAAAATACGCGAAATAAATTTAAGAAAAATAAATAAAAGAGAACAAAAAACACACAAATTGATTTGCTATTACGTTTGAAAATGTTTGACGGAAACGTCCTAGAAGCAGGATACTCCTTCACCACGAGAACACTTCAGCGCACGACGCAAAACGAACAATTGAACATTTGACCATGGCAGGTATCGAGATAATGTGGCATCCGCCATAGTCTCGGCGCCTTGCGACTTTATTCCCGAGAATCAAAGATAAACTTCGAGGTATTCGCTTTACGAGCCACCTGTTTACAGCTGACTACGAAGGGTTTTTCAGTCTGCATGTATATTGCCGTGAAGTGGAAAATATTTTATTTAAAAAGCAAGTGAAAGATTTTTTTCGGAAAAATCTTAAATTTAAAAAAAAATAAATATTATTATATTATATTAGCTACAATATGCTCTGTCTCGCAGGTGCGATGTTCACCGAGTTCGTGTGCGACTGTACTTGGCGAGAACTACGTGAGCTATTATACCTGGCGGGCACTATGTGCGCGACTGTACCAGGCGGCTCTATGTGCGTGATAAATACCCGGTAGCACTATGTGCGCGATTATATCTGGCGGACACTATGTTTTTTTTTAAGGTGAGCAGACGGTTCACCTGATATTAAGTGAATACCGCCACCCATGGACATCTGACGCCCGAAGGTTCCAGATGCGTTGACCTTTTGAAAGTTGGGCTGTGTGCGACTGTACCTGGCGGGCACTATGGGCGCGATGGAGGCGTGCACGGCCGCTGGGTCCACCGCGCGCGCTACCACCAGCCGCACCCTGGAGCCGGAGGCGCGCAGCACGCCGGCCACCTGCTCCGAGCCCATCTCCATAAGGTTCACCTGGAATCGTGACATGGGAAGTACCACAGCCGCACGGAACACTGGCGACAATTGGAAGTATTATAAGGTCGCGTTTCATCTGGGAGTGAAGTGACAGGCGCCGACTTTTTTTTATTTGCAGCGCATCTGCTACCTTAACTGTAGATATCCACGTGCGGCGATAATCACTTAACATCAGGTGAACCGACCGCTCGCTTGCCAACTTTTCACATTTAAAGAAGCATACTAGACCAAAGTAACAACGTAAATAGTTATATAAACTATTTTCTATGAGTATACGGCAAGCGAGCAGGCCTTTGATGACCTCAATCAATCAAAGAAAAGTAATTATCGCCGGCCATGGATATCTACTACCTCTATGGATTTGAAAATGGACAAAGCATCTTCAACCTAGAGGGTTTAAAACGTGTGGGGCCTCTAACCTCACTGACCAAACGCAACGAAGACGTATAATCAAGCTCATCTCCCACCTCAAATCGGTCTTCTTTGTGGCCTTGTACTTCCCGACAACATTTTTTGCCCATACAACAGCAACCATGCTAGGTACATTTGCGTAGGTCAACACAAATATTACAAGCTAATTGGATTTATTCATAGAACTACGATTGAAATTAGTAAACAAATTTATTAAAAGCCAAGCGCCAATTGACAAAGATCGAGGCAATCATCTTTTTTATTAACTTCTTCTTTTCTTTAATTTAGTTGGCTGATACTCAAAAGGTAAAACCCACTAAGCAGATTGTCTTTTGGTTTCGGATTCGTAGCAATATATCCAGCATCACCTGTGACGATGTCAAATATAGCGTTAGTCACCTCCGTTGAACTTTTTAAACATATTGCATCACCAATTATTGCGAAGACGTTTCTGGTGTTATGTCAAACTATGGCGAATCAATCTGGTACAAAGCTTCCTGTCGCCTAAATGGTCGTATAATAATGTTGTTGTACTTGACTCAAACCAATACCTAAGGTTGCCCGATTTTACTGGTAGGTCACTCTCTTATCTTCCTCCATCATAAGTCGCAAAGCACTGATGTTATGTTCAGATATCACTATTTAAGCACCTCACTCAAGCAGATCACGGCTACGGCCACGCTTAAACTCATTAAACCAATGGTAAGCAGAGCCACATATAATGGATAGGGCTTCATTATTAAATGCCAATAGAGGTCAATCATAGTTTTTGTTTTTGAGTTATAGAACACAACGAAAGTTGTAATAATTGATGTCACAGACAAATGAATACAATATAACACATTAAGTTACCAAAGTATTCTGTATTCAAAATTTTAAAGTTTTCATTGGTTTTCACTGGCCAGTTCTAAAAACTTTCAGGGTGACCCTAGTATAAACTTCATCTGTCTTACATCTCCAATTTGTAATATATGATCCCCCGACTTCAGGCGACCGTCACGGTCGGCAACGCCTCCAGCCAAGATTGTCTTCACAATAACTCCGCTAGTTCGAGCACCAATAATACCTATAAATTTTTTCTATTTATAATTATCATAATAAAAAACAATACACAAATTAATAATTTTTGTAATGGACTGGACTGACTGAACAATAAACTTACCAAATCCTAATCCAGTGCCATCATTCACCAAGTTGATAATTTCAACCTGAGCCCAGTCTCCAGCTACAATATTAGTACAGGCAGAGGCTAATGAATCTTCATTTCGTGACAAGTCAAGCAAGCCACGAGACTAAAAATTAAAGAATTCTAGTCAATTATTTTCAAATCAGATTAATTTTAGCAAATATTCTTTGTGTTCTTCAGTCTATGAATATTATACAGAGGATATTTCAAAAAATCTTTATATGCAACATTTAAAATGTTTAGGCCATAAATGTTGCAAAATTTAAAGGATAGATAATATGTATATCCATTATTCCTAACACGATTAAAAATTGCACTAACCTTTGTTTCCAATTATTTGTGTGATTAATAATTTATTCTAAAGGTTTCTTTAATTTCTTTTGTTTTATTCTTGTGTTTGAACATCTTTTATATTTCTTCTAGCTATAGTACTAATAACTGTGTGGGCCTGGTCCAGCAAAGAAATTCTATACTACGGATATGTTATACGCTTACAAAATCACCAGTGAAAAGTGTTCAAAACACAGTGACAACATACATTTCACACACTTTGTTCATCATAACTTTCTCAGACATCTCGGTAATATTGGTATACTGGTCACAATGGTATTAAAAGGATAGCGTAATTAAAACAATAAGAAAGAGTAAACAACTGTCACTGAGGAAACCAATCATGGCATGTTTGACATAAACTTACCAAATTGAAAAATTATTGAAATAGAAGGTGCAAGCCAAACAATAGTGAGGAGTATATAGAAAGTAACTGTGTTTTCATTTGGGGACTGGTTAATAGTACAAAAAGACTTAGCTTAATACTTTTCATATGGATAGGAAATAAAATACTATTAAATGAAACTATTTTAATAGGATATTAATAATAGGATCGCAAGCAAGCAACACCCAACCCTCTTCTCAATTGAAATTAGGGTATTTTTTAATTTCAATAGCCTTGCAAATCATCCTTGAGAGGGAATGGTGTTCTTTTGCAAGGATATCATATCTGTGGTCTATCAAATCTGATATAATGTTTGGGGCGATTTAGAGTGTGCTTACATACTGCAGACTTATTTTATGGATCTGCAGATTTAATTATTACACAGTGTCCGCTCATGATGGTAGCTGAGCGCAAATTAATATTTAATTACAAATTTTTGTGCAATAAGTCAAGACAATGACCAGTAAAGCTGACTGATTTACTTTACTATTTGTAACATATTTATCGTTAACTTTTTAAGTGGAACATGTTTGCTTACATTAAATGTTTTTAAATAAATAATTTTTTGTTTTTCAATAGTAGAAAAATGTTCCTGAACTCAACATGATAGTCTAATTTTGTGAGAAAAGGGAAATAAAATTCTTCCTTACAATAATATTAACCAAAATTTTCAAATAAAAAATTGCTACCATTTGAAGATAGAGGATTATCTATCAGTAATAATTATTAGTTTCGTTTTGCCGCAAAATTCACCAAAGTACTGCTTATTTTTGCCAGATTTAGTCAGATTTGCAAATACATCACTACTATAGGTTAACACCAGTAGATGATAGTTACAAAAATCAATCACACATATAACCCCTGCATGATATAAATTAAAAAAGGCCAACTCTTTGTATTTAGCTGAAGGTGTAAGCAGAGGGTGAGCATATTAACAAATTTAAATTTAGGCCCTTTCTTAGTTTACATTTTATTAATAGAATGTTATTATTAAGTTCTTATTAATATGCTTCTATTTCAAAATGTAAACATTATAAGTGTTGTTAATTTCTTTTAATTGTGGTAGGGCCACACTACAGCAGCAAGTACCACGGCCTCACAACAACAAGGGCGGATCCAGCTTTGGTGCCAGGGGTCACGTAGTCGTGGTCAAGTGATAAGAAGTTATTGTTGAGGGTATTATAATATAATTTATATATATTTTAAACGACTCCAAAAAGAAGGAGGTTATCAATTCGGATGTTTATATTTTTTTTATGTTTGTTCGGGCATAACTTCGTCGTATATAGACGGATTTGCAAAATTCTTTTTTTGTTCGTAACAATTCGTTGCTTTTTATTATTACATATTATACAGGGTGGCTATAAAGTTGCCTAAATTCACACAGGGCATTCAAACTCGGTATTATAACCGTTTATTGAAATAAAAACAAACCTTTTTTTTAAAATTGGCATTCTATACCCTAAAAACAGAACTTGTTGACAATGCGGTAGTCATTCATAAATAGGTCGTATACTTTTGAAACGAACTTGTGTGCGTGTTAGTTATGAAATAAATGAGTTGCCCATAAATTACGCACTTTCTGAAATAAGTTCAAATGAATATAATTAATTAATTACAAGTGATTTTAAATATTTATCGTGTTTTATATAACTTTATTGATGTCTAGAATTTAATAAAAAAAAATGGATACACTTAGAAAAGCCTCCCTGTATAGTATTTTTTAAGTAGCTATTGGTAGGCTTACTTATATTTGAAATTTCTTTTTATTTATTTCTTCGTTACCAGATTTTATGTAGTCGTATTGGTTATAATATTTTTCAATTCCTCTACTCAGCACGCAGTCTCCACTTCAATAACAAGTAGCCTAAGACGGACTATCGGGACATGGGTTAATAATAATATATAATCAACCCAAATGAAAACTCCTAAAATAGCCATACAACAAACTAAAATTTCATCGTCCACGTTAAAACAATGTTCATAAATAAGAAAAAAAAAATTAAGACGAATCAAACTCGACGCAGTTGTGTTCCTTAATTACTGAGTTCCTATCCTTACCATCTAGCACTAAAGAACTCGTCATGACGAATCAAACGAGCCGAGACATAATAGGCTTGCATTGTTTCTTTACTAAGTTCATAAGACTATCTTCCAGCTCCAACATCAGATCAGACCCTGGTAATCATCTAAAAATTAAGTACTCGCCAAGAAGAAACAAACGAGCCGAAACTCGATGGGGTTGAGTCTTTTCATTACAGAGTGGTCATAGGAACCTCACAGAATAGCCTCATAGACCTCACAGAAGATCGGCGTAATGTACTTCTGCGTTTTGTCTGGTGAGTGAGCCCACTTTATTGTAAGGAGAAAACGCATCTGCAACCCTATGCATATGTCCATGGACGGCTGAAGATGGGGCTCCATTATAAGATCCTGGTTACGTATGAAAGACAAACTACTCGTCAATACGATTCAAATGTACCCAAACGCGATGAGGCTCTGTCATTTAATTGCGAAGTTCCTTTGGCCACCTTCCATCTCCATCATCAGATCAGCACCATGTCATAAAAATATTGCATTGTCTCGCGATTTACACATGTATACAAAATTTCAGCTCAACCGGTAACCGGGAAGTAGATCAAATTTAATTTGCAAGATTTTATGACAAACATTAAAACATTGTAAAAATGTTCATAAAATGAAAACTACTTGGCCAAACTATGGTAATTTTTTATGGGTAAAAATGGCAACTATTCTACATCAAACTAAAGAAGAATCACGTAAATCGGATCATAAATCTCAACGTAATCGGTGTACATACATCGAAAAAAATATACCAATTGAATTGAAAAACTCCTCTTTATGAAGTTGGTTAAAAATATTATATTAATTTAAATAAATATTGAAGGTACTTACATAAAATCTATATTGTGGCAAAAAATCTTCCTGTGAGTGAAAATATTGCCCTTTTGATTTTCATCTAGTATGTGAGGTATCTGGATTGAATTACTTATCCTAATCCATTTTTTTATTCTATTAACTTTAATACAATCTTTTAAGGAGTAATACAATGATTTAAGGAGTTTTACCTGCTTTGGGGACATACTGGAATCCACAGAGGCGGTATCAAGACCCAGTATTCGTTCATTGTCTGAGTTAGAGCCAAACTCTAAACTGTGTGGGGGCGATACCTGAGGTACTCTTTGCTCTTCCTCACCCTCATGTGAACCATAAAGGTTTCGTGTTTGTAAGGCCAAATCACCTAAAAACAAAAGCAATTGATTATTTGATTTTACATGAATGTACTATACTATAAACTAATAATAGTTTTAATGTTTATATAATGTATGTATCAAACATAATGTGGTTGTTGAGGCCGTCTAAAATATGATCACAAACTGCAGACTTCTTCAAGTGATGTGAAGCACCAACGGATGAAGAAGGAAAGTCCTAACCACTACATTAGATTGGATAATACAAAACTCCTTGTAAAACAAACATCGATTCCTCCTAAAGATAATATGTGAGGGCTATAGAAATAAATAAACATCTTAATTTCAATAGAGAACATCAACTATTTTCTCTAGTTTCTTTAGTTGAGTTTATTATCTGCTTGGGATCCCATAATTTACAAAATTAAATAAGTTTTAAAGATTGAAACACAATAAAATAGTCTCATTTGAAGCAATTGTCAGTGGTTAATAATGTAGTATGTTTCTTTACAATTAATTTTGGGAATAAATAATAAGGTGCACATTTCTTCTCCACCACTTCACCACCCATTAAGCATAAATTTTTATCAACTTACCAGCAGGAGTGATGTCAAAATCACTTGGGAGAATAGAAGGATGGTGTGCTACCTGAGTGGCCAACATAGCCACAGAATCATGTAAAGTGGCAATGCTCCTTAATATAGGACTTTCCAATAGGTTAATAAGCAGGTTCAGATCGTCATTTGTTGCAGCCTGTATAGGAAACAAAGTAACGTAAATTGAACAACAATTATTAAAGAGACAGGTATGAATATATATATATATATATATATATACTATCTCTATATATATAAAGTGATAACTGACATTGTGTATATTCAAATAATACCACTTACCTTAAGTTTTGAATCATCAGATTGATCAACTGCAGCTTTTACACTCTCCAGTTGCTGGAGAGCATTCGAAATGTTCACTCCAAGATGCATGCTGAAATTCCACAATTTTAAAATATCAAATAAGGAAAATCACGCATCATTTATTGAACAGATCAACAAACTTTGTTTTGTGAATTGCTTTTTCTTTTACAAAAATTATACAATATACGTCATCACAAGATAAAACTTATCATTTTATAGGCATTCAAATTAAAACTTTACTATTTCTATTTATATGTATTGTCTAATAACTGGCCAAATTTAATAATGTAATTCGTTTTTTTTTAATTCACCTTACAGCTGACGAATTAATTTTAACAATTTTATCTGATAAAAATAATATTATGATTTATTTACATTTCTTTACGTGTTACCAACTTTCGAAAATATTTGTCCCCTAGACTTAAGGCAAAACCGCTAAAACCAAAAAGATTTTTGCCTTACTTTAGGGATAAGTAACAAAATATATCGATATACATCTATTACATAAATATATTAAGAAAATTTTAAAAAAGTATCGATAATTATCGAGCGAAAAATATCGATATATTGTCATTTAAGTTGGCTGTGAGTGTGCATGCGCATTGTATAAATTTCAATCTCATAATTTTTTCCAAATGCGTCAAAATAAGTATAACTTTAATAAAAAAACGACACTAAAAATATAAAAAAGTTATTAAATACATTGAACAATCAATCAATCAAAAATTTTTATTCAAATAGACGCTTGCGCGTTCTTATGAATCGTCAAATTTTACTAATATTATACATATAGGTTTTTTTATAACCTACATTTTTTTTATAACATTTTATTATAACGGATTATCTAGTTAAATAAAGTTTATTTAAATATCACAAAATAAATATCGTGAATACAGACATCAGTTCTCACTCAAATACGTAGACGTCTAGCTTACTTCAGGGTGTCGGTTTTTCGTGACGGTGTGCGCGCGCATCGTAAAAATTTACTCTCATCATTTTTCCCTAACGCCGAAGTGTAATTGCAAAAATAGTTGAAAAGAGTTTTTAAAGTTTACGATGCTTTAAATACGAAACCAGAAATTGCGTTAAAAATATATGAAAATTGACACGGAATTGAGTCTAAAATAAATTTCGAATATCGATATAACGCGATAAAAAATATCGACGATATATAGCAATAGTACTATGGACAAGTACGGATATTTTTTATATATCTATTTTTTTGCCCATGCATAACTCAATTTCCACATGAATGGAATAAAGTGAAAGATATTGCAACGAAAATGTTCGTCTTATAAAAAGTGTTCAAACAAAAATTATGGGAGATATACTTTTATAAAAAAATTGTCTTGGATGATTTCTTTATACGACTAATATTTTTATGGTAATTCCAAAAATGTGATTCATAAGGAATGTCAAAGAATATCAATAATTTTGGCGCTTTCTTTAAAGCCCGATATACATTGGTCAAGGACAGTGGCGAGTAGCGAGTACAAGTACAGTGACCAGTGGCGAGCAACGGACAAATGGCTGAGCTCCGTCGAAATAGAGTAGAGCCAGCCCCGGATCTTCAATTTTTTTTGTGTGGGGGCACAAACCGAGAAATGCCGCCCTCGCCCACATATTTATTTTTACCTTTAAAATTACTAATTACATTATTTCGTATGTTGTTTTCACGAGATTCATCGGCAGCATTAATTGTGTATATACGCTATGTTTTCGCGATGTAAGCTATCGTGTGTTCATTGTAAGCATCGATTTGTCTGACAGTGGCATAAATTCGAACTGCAATCCCACGGGCAAATTCTTTTATCAAACGGTATTCCTTGAGGTTCGCAAAGCAATTCAAGTTTAGCCGTCAATTCGCCAATGAGTAATGGTTTTAAATGAATTTATAAATTTAAAAATTGTTCTGCAATTAACATATTTACTGTATTTCTTGCAGTTTAACCAAATTATTCTACTCTGCCTTTTCTGCAGTTTCATTAAGCAACATACTTGTCAGTTTTATGGGCTAAACGACCATGTATTATAGAAAGGTCGTGATCGTAGTTTTTAACTCTCATTAGCTAATCAAGCAGTATGTGGGAGCATTTAACTTTTCTTTATAATTTTACTACTTCCAAAAGTTTTTATAATTATACAAAATAGCATTTTTAGGAATGATTGGTAATTAATAGGTAAGTAAAAAAAATACATCAATATTTTTAAGCAGTATCAATAGTTATTGACTGAAAATTATCGATATATTGTCAGTATTCGAATGATTATTCATACATATTTCCAAACCATTCAAAATTCGTAAAATTCGTCATACAGCTTTTAATGTCGGATACTGTCAGATTCACAGGTGCTGAAGTTACTCTTTCGGAACACACCAAGAAGCCTGGCAAATTAGGTATCTATTGGCGACTTCTGAAAGAATCGGCGTGAATTGCTGGCATTTTATCGAAAATTTTAATGGAACAGCTTTTCTCTCATTAAACACGAAAACAGATTAATGTTAAAAAATATATAGAATATCGATAATTGTATGAAAAACATCGATATTTTTATACATAGATGTTTTATGCCCATGCCTACATTAATTTAAATTTAAGACGAGGTAAAAATAATAGGTCGCAAATATTGTAAAGTCCTGAATTTAAAAATACTTCTACATGTTCTACAGACAATATTTTTATTCGTAAGTTATAAAAGGGAAAGCAATTATTTACATGAGTAATTACTTGTTGTTTTCATTTTCTATGTGACCGTCTTACAATGAGTACTTGCGAAGATGTGATCGACTTGACTGACTCGTTTACGTTAATTGAGCATTCCAGTTTAGCTGACGATGTCATTATAATTGACACTGATGAATCTTTAAGTTCAAATGCAAAATCTCCAGTAAATACTCACTCAAAACCGAAAAGACAAAAAGAACCTTCGAATAAAGAAAGCTCGGTAAGATGGTTTTTTTATTATTCTTAACGTTTTATGAGTCTACCCGTTACTGTTTTTGTATGTATTTTGTTTTGTATATCTAATTTTAGGTACGTTTGACAAATGAATCTTCGACCGTAAGAAAACAAGGAAAGCCTAACAAGTTTGGCGAATGCCCCATTTGTTGGGAAGAATTAGGAAAAAATCCTTTGGCGTCGACAAAATGCGGTCACGTTTATTGCATGAAATGTCTTGAGAAGACATTGCGTATTGCCAAAAAATGCCCTTCGTGTCGGACTTACTTAAAAGATTCTGCTGCATATCATCCATTGTATTTGAATCCACATTAACTACAGGTTTTGGTAAATATAAATAAACACTATTTGACCTTTTGTCCATTTGTGTATATATGTGAATACTCTATTGTGGTGTTATCAAAAAAAGTTTTACAAATTTTTTAACTGACCTAACAAATAAGAAAGTTGTCCATTACTGATGGCCAGTTTCTGAAATACTGATCATCGTAGAAGTTACCTAATCAGCTGTCAAATGTATTTTCAAATGTAATTTGAGTTGCCAAAAGGATAGTTAAACTCTGAATTGATTATTCTTATTATTAAGAAGACAATTCTGATTAATCAGAGAGTATAATCATCCTATTGGCAATTTATTATTTTCCTTTTCATTAGAAATATCTAATATAAAATCTAATATATAATTTCTTTATTATGATATATTCATCATCCTCAACCTCATTCATGGAGGTTCCGTGTAATATAAGACTCATCCTGTTTCAAAAATATATTTGCCCAAATATTTTGAACACCAAATCCTTAAAAATTGTAAATTTGTAAATAATAGGGGTAGGCTATGTTAATTAATCTGAGTTTAATAGAAAACCTGTCAAAAATATTTTTTGGCGCTGTAGGATTCAACAAAAAATGTTTATAATCGACAAACAAGTATCTATAAAACTTGCATTTAAATTTGATCTTAAGTTCAGATAAGCACTAAAAATTAAAAAAGTAATCATGTCATTTGTTTAGATGAAAATGACATAATATTTCATAACTGTTTTTTATTGATTAATTTTTCATAGTGCATATAATAATAATAATAAATAAATAAAAAATAAAGTAATCCATTTCTGAAACCATCGTCATCGTAGAAATGAACTAATCGGCTATCATTCTGGCTTCTCATTCAGTTAATTCTGAGATGTTCATGCCCTGTTTCTGAAACGCTGACCATCCTTTTGTCACCTCAAATGACATTTGAGAAGCCATTTGACAGTTGATTAGTTAATTTCTACAATGATCAGTGTATCAGACAACTCTGGGCATCAGTGTTTCAGAAACTGGGCTTCAGTGTAACATACCCTGTGAGTTCACATTAATTTCATCTCTGTACCAGTGGCATTGAATATATTTTAGCTAATTACTTTCAATAATTTATTATGTGCAGTAATTTTTGATGTTTTTTTTTAGAAATATTGAATGCATGCTATTCAAAAAAGATGAGGAATTGTTTGCTTGTTTTTAAGATTATGTTAAAAACATTTTCTCATTAAATTGTATAAAAATAGATTATTTTCGTATTTGTTATTTTGATTCATGTGATTTTGATTTAACCTTAATGATTTTCATGTTTCTTTCCTGTTTTTAATTTTTTATTTAGTAAGGCATCCAGTGCATCCAGTATTTCCTGTCTGGGCCTTTTTTATGCCTTTCACATTTTAACAACCAGAGCATTTAACTTATAACCTTTCAAACAGCATTATAAACAGTTTCAGCATTTTCTGATGTAGGGGCATTCATAGCATCTGTAGTTTGATTTCTTGCGGCATAGTTAAGAGTAGAGTTATATTATGCCGGCTTGTAGTGGGAGGCCTATCCACGGTAGCCGTGTTTATTGAGATTGCGCCCTTGGAAACGCGTGAGAACGATGTAATGGACGGGTAGACACATGATAACTCATGGTTTTCCATTGTCCGTGCTTCAGGAATCGATTAGAAAACATTCTCTACATGCAAGCGTTCCTTACGTAGGAAGAGGGTCCGTAGCTGAAGAGTTCTTCCCCGAGTGAGAAGTAAATTTTTAGGGTTCCATATCTTAAAAGGTAAAAAAAGGAACCCTTATAAGATCACTCCCTTGTCAGTCTTAATTTTCAACTTTTTTATTTTTCGGAATCTTCCCTTCAGAAGTAAGGACCTTGCTTTTTATATAAATTGACAACTCCAGGTCAACCGAAGGTACCCTATAGGTTTTGGGTCGAAAGTATCTGGTATAAATTTCAACCGTTCTGGTGGTGATTATTTAACAATTTTATTAGGGCAGTTTAATGGGTAGGTACGGAACCCTCGACGTACGAATTTGACTCGCACTTGACCGATTTTTTCCTATTGTGGCCATTAGTCAATTACCGCGAGTCCAATACGTGGGTCCCACGGAAAGTCCTCAATGTCGAAAGTTTATTATACATTTTAAATGTTGTTCGAAGTAATCTCCGTTCCTTTCTGTCCATTGAGAAAAGCCGTGGACCCATTCACTCTTCTACGGCATTTTCGAATGCACTCACCGCATCTTAAGGGCTCGTAAAGCCTCGAAGTTTATCTTTGGTTATTGTGAATAAATGAAAGAAGGGCACCCGGTCGGGACTATAAGGCGGATAACTCATTATCTCCACACCCACCATAGTCAAATATTCAGTTGTTCGTTTCGCAGAGTGCGCTGAAGCGTTGTCGTGGTAAAGGAGGATCCTGCTTCAAGGTCGAAAGTGTCGAAAATTAAGACAACATATTAAAAATTAAAAATATGTTTTTATTGCCAATGTTTCTAACTGGCCAGTTCTAAAAACTTTCCTATCGGTATAACCATGGTGGCGGATTTACAAATTAGCCCCTACTGACCTCTGAAATTCGAAATCTTAGTTCGAAAATTCAATTCAAATTCAATTCAATCATATTAAGTACATTTATAACAAGCCTTTCGCCCGCGCCTCCGCCCGCATGTACTACATTTTCTATCATGCTTAAGAAATACCTACGGAACCCTTCGTGCGCGAGTAATCATTTTACAGACCATAATATATGGTTAACCATAGTTTCATCCAATTATATGTAATTTCGTTTAAATGTAATTATATGTAATATTCAATGTGGTTCTTTAAGTTGATATAACTTTTTTTTTTATTTATGAACCGATTTAAATAAAACTAAAACTTAATGTTCAGTGAACTTACTACAGTGAATTATTGAAAGTTCAACACCGACACCCAAATCGGTTAAGCCGTGTCTGCAATTAGCACAGATTAGCGCAAAACGCACAGATAAACAGACAAAAATTTTAACAATCATTGTTTTGGGTTTTACTGCGTTGATAAAGCCTTTATTAACACAGTAGAATAATACGACTTTCTCAAATATCTTCCATGTACAGACTACGACCAGTTACTTAATTACATTTTTAGTACCTGGAGGTTTGTTTTTTTTTTTGGTAAATCGTGTATTTTGGAAATTACATTTAGATACAAATTACTAAGTAATGAAATATGCATAATATGTTTCGATCTTACCGACGTAATAATAAGAAAATATGAACTGGTGTTTTTCACAAAAGAAAGAACTTTAAAAAAGAAGGGAAAAAAATAACAAAATAACAAATCGACAAAAAATAAAAGATAAAGAAAGCAATGATCTGGAATCGAAAAAAAAGTAAAAAAATAAGTGTGTAAATGATCGTGATGCGAACCACGACCTTCTGTTTCGTGGCTGTTATGTGTATAGAAGATGTCAATAAAATAGAATTTTTTTGATTTATACTCATTGCCTCCATTACATTAGTTTTCAATATCATAATTAGCATAATTTTGAACTAGGCTTTTATTTTGTAAGTTTCTAGAAAATACATAATTTTCTATGTATTTAATGACGTTTTTCTTTATTTCTGTAAGACTTGGGCCAAATTTGCCGCATCCTAAAATCTGCCGCCCTAGGCCTTAGTCTTATTGGATTGCTGTTAAATCTGCTACTGGGTATAACCCATCCTTGCCCATGACGAGGGCGGTTACGACGAGTCCAATCTGTTGAGTATTAATCGCTCGTTTAGTTTCAAGTGGTCGAAGAGACTAAATAGATGCTAGGTAGTCGGGGGTTGAAGAAAGTCTGTAAACGATTTTCGAAAGGAAATTGCATAAGTAATACACAGGGAGGTTTTTCTAAGTGTATCCATTTTTTCTTATGTACAAAATAATGTTAATGTTATATAAAAAGTAGACATAAATAATGTTATATAAAAAGTAAAGTATCAGCCTATTCATGTCCCACCGCTGGGCAAAGGCCTACTCTGTACAGAGTAGTTAGGGCATAGTCCACTACGCGGCCCCACTGCGGATTTGCGGATTTCAAATATCTTCGAAATATTTTTTTTTTGTTATTATTTCGAAAATATGCAGGTTTCCTCACGATGTTATAAAAATGATAAATATTTAAAATCACTAGTAATTAATTACATTCATTTGAACTGATTTTACGTGCTTCATAACTAACACGCACACAAGTTCGTTTCAAAAGTATAATATGCATAAATTTCGACACCTATCTATCTAAAAACTTTGACACGCACACAACTGCTTTGTGCATGTCAAAGTTTGTTATTACACGCGTGTCATAGCACAAGTAAGTTGTGACTCCAATTTTCCTTCATACTTAGAACGGGCTTAGGACCGTCATAACAAAGTGCGTACTAAAATACTACTTTATTATTTTAAAATCACGCACTACTGTTCGTACTTATTATGGCGTATTTAAAAAGTGGAATCAACTTTTTACAACAATTAAACTCACCTAATCATTTAGTCACAAAATCACTCACTGATATTTTAACAATTGTTCAAAATAGAGTCCACTTGTCTCAATACAAAGCTGAGCACGCTTTCCCAAACTGTTTTTAACATTACTGTGTCTGAGCATTGTATGCGCCGGTGTACTAAATTGTCCAAAATGTAATAACCTTTGGTTGGCTGCATAAAATCGTCCTTGGATTAGGTACACTTGAGTTCATCGCCTGTCTTTGTAAACGAGGTAAAGAGTCACTAAAGACTGCGCACCACATAAACTTTATTTTATTTTATTGATTTCACCACTTAAAATGTAGCACCGTTCCATCTCGTAATACTAGCGGTTGTTATAGAACTGCGTTGTTGTTCCGACATCGGTAGAGATAAGCAAATCTAAAAATGGCACGTGCGGCCGTAATTAGGTCGTGATCAAATTGATACTAACGAAGGGCTAAGGACAGCGGCCGCATAGAGCGATCACCGCGCGCGGATGGAGGGGAGTGGAACGAAGTTTTACGACTCAACGCAATGGACGCCGTGCAGGCACTGGTCGTCTCCGATTTATCGCGAGCGCTTAGTTTTGTTTGTGTGCGTGTACAATGAAATTTAGGTATTTATGAATGACTGCCGCATTGTCAACAAGTTCTGTTTTTTGGGGAATGGAATGGCAATTTTTTTGAAAAAAAAAGATTGTTTTTAATTTCATACGATTATACTACGGAGTCTAAACCTCCTGTGTGAATTTGGGCACCTTACCCAAATACATAAAGCTTAAAACGAAATTACATATACTAAGTTTTAGAAATTTCTTTTACAAATATATGTTCAATTCGGCCATCCTGTACAGGTTGAATGGCCTCATTCAATTTGACCTTTTGTTCTTTTGTGAATATGAAGGTAATGAACTTAAACATATGAGGCTTAAGATGAATAAGAAAGTAAACGAAACAAAAAGAAAATTAATTAAATCTCGCTTGAAATAACTTTTAAACCAGAGTACGCTGTTTACACACAAAAGGGTTTCACAGCTAGGATATAAATAGCTTGGTTGTGCGCCTTACTAAATATATATATTTACTTATATGAATGAAAATATGCATAAACATGTATAAATTATTGTTTTACGATACTGTATACTAATCGATGTTCGACTAATAATGATCTGCTTCTAGTCTGAGCTAAATAGCGCCGAGTCGTATCCATGACTTCATTTATCGGCACAATTTACATTTTTGTTCCTTTTAATAGAGAAACCCTCAATACTACAAATTTCATAACGGCCATTCCCCAAGACTGCTGACACCTTGTAGGGACTAATTTATTACTGTCTCTTAATTTGTAATTAACGACGGCACATCTTTTTCTGTCAAACCGGGCTTTCATCAATTCCTATTGCTAATTTATGCGAGATGAAACTTGTTTGCGAGTTTCTTGGATTTCTTCGTCCAACCTTAGACCATCTCTGATATTTCATGTAAATGATTTTCCTATATGTTTATAAGTTATTATATGTTTACTGTATTTTTTCCAAAAACTTTTACAAAAGAGACGATACTTTTCCTAGGCCTTTGTTAAGAGTGTTGTTTAAACTACATCGAACTTTACCTAAATGGGTGTCCTAGGTTCGATCCTCGTAATCGTTATTCAGTCTCAAAGAGAACTCAGAATTGATCATATATGATGCACTTGAAGAACTATCTATGGTACCTACAATGTACGTGTTACCAAGCTCTACGTAGTCTATATGCACGTATTCTAAGGGCGTACTAAGTTTAGAGATCAGGTGTAGTAGTCCTTGCTTCTTCCCTGATGGCTGCTTTGAATATGCACAGGGGATACACGATTTCTGGGAAACCAATAGTCCCATCGCATTTTCTCGAAATTCTTCAAAAGCAAAATGACCGCTCTTGTTATGGCAGAGCAAACAGATTTTCCATCTAGCATCTCGTGGAACGGGCAACTTAAGTTCATCGCGTACTTTCCTATAAATCTTAACATCTTTCAACAAATAATTGTTTTTTACGTCTTTAGCTTCCGTACTATTTCTTCTAGTATACATTTAATAAGCTTTAGCTTAGGGTCGCTTTTTTGCGCTAACAACGAATGGTTGTCTTGTGTTAAATTCATTATATTTAATTCGAACGGTTCATTATAAATGTCAGCTATTGTATTGCGGCTTAGTAAGTTCGCATGCTGTAATTGAGCTATGGGGCGGCACTCGACTGTGAAGCTATAACATAGAACTT